ATGCCCAAAATTTCCCTTCTCCTCTATGTGTTTTGGATCGACCAAAATTTCCATTGCCACTACAACTTCTAGTAGTGGTAGTGATCTTTTTCTTCCTCTGTCTGTTTTTCAATCAACCAAAATCGCTATGTCGCTGCAACTTCCAGCAGTGGCGGTAATCTTCTTCTTCCTCCGCCCCCTTCTCCTCTGTCTATTTTGGGATATACCAAAATCGCTATCGCCGTTGCAACTTCCAACAAATGGTGGTGATGGTACAATAAATCCAATATTGGAACCTCAAGAAAACAAGCAATTTAGGGATGAAGGTAACTTTGTTAATATCATTTCATATTCTCCGTTTCATACTTTAGTCTTGAATCTTGAACCTTATGATTAATGTGTATAGAATTATAATTTTGTCTATTTATTTTTTTAGATGACTATAATTTTTTCAATGAGATGTTGGAGAAAAATCCAGGACATGATCATCTACATGCAGATGAAGATGAAACACAACCCAAAGATGAAGGTGAAACACAACCCAGAGATGAGGATGATATACCACCTGGTTTTAGTTGGCTTCGTCGATGAAGAGTTTATGGATTTGAAATTTGGACATGTTAGTTATGTTTTAATTTAGTGACTAGTCTTTGACACTTCTTAGATTTTAATTTATGGACCTTATGTTTTATATTTACTATTTATTTGCAAGTCGTGAGTTATAAAGACTTGGAAAGGTTATTTAATTTCATGTTATTGCATCTTGTTTTATGGTAGTTTAATTTGGCACTCTTGCACTCTTACACTTTTACGATAGTTTAACAAAGAATTCAAGCATGAGTTCAAGAATTCAAGTATGAATTCAAGAATTCAATGAAGAAGTCAAGAACTCATGAGCTCAAGAACTCGTCCATGGGCCATTACCTCATGGGAAATTGTTGTGGTAAGGTGAGTCTCTTTTCATATCTAAATTGTATAAGTTGGGTTCAAATTTCGGAATACCATTTTATCTTATTTTCATATTGTGTATTTATGAACCTCATGCAGAGAATATAAAAAGAAAATCTTTGAGGGAAAGTAAAACTTCTAGCAAGAAAAATTAGAAGGCAGATTCATAAGGCATTTATTTGAATTTTAGGTCATCAAATGAAGGTACACATTACACAGTACTTCTTTTGAAATAATCAAGCTCTTGAAAAGAATGGAATATCACTGTCCTTAAATATTAGATATTCTCCCAAATCTTAAAAGTTGTAGGAAAGTGTTGAACAGTTCTATAGATTTCGGGAGTCATGGATGACAAAAGCCAGGACATAGCAGCAGCAGTTTCCCTAGAAAAAATTCTGTGATCAAGGTCATCTTTGACATTTTCCTTAACACTAACATGGCATGCCTGAACCAGTGATGACTCCTTGGTTCCTGTAACCAAGCCATAGCCTTATCTTGATAATTACTACTTCTTTTGGATAATTAGTAACCAAGTCATAGCCTAAGGACATGATTTTAGTAGTTTGCGATCAGATCTGAAGAATATGAATAATGGCAGCAGCTAAAGCGTGTCCTGTCTGGTGTCAAATTACAAAGTTACTCTTGTATCTCCATTAGGCATAGTAAGAACAAAAATATTAATGTAAAAACAAAACAATTAGAGATCAGATTAGAATAAATAGTTACTCTTGTCTCATTTCTTATTCTTATGAACAATTGTTTAGTTGAGCAACTTTTCATGTTTTTACCTGCACTTTCTCGTTTGAGAAGTTACCATGATGTGCTCACTTGGTTCCACAAATGGGAAGACACAAATTCATTGCAGTTTAGTGAGAGAGAGAGAGAGAGCGTGCTCTACCAAATTGGTGTAAATTATATATCTTGACTTTGCTTTGCACAGTCCACTTATCTTTATAGGTAATTGATGATGGCAATCCTTTAAATGTTTAGGCTCTACGTACTTTTTATGTTTGTACCTTAAACTAACACCATAATCACTGCTCTAAAGTCTAAATAGACTTGGTAAATCACAGACTTTCTTCATTATTTTAATTTCATCTGATCATGTTTATGGGTTTTTCTTGGATGATTGCATCTGTTAATTTTTCTCATGTTATTCCATTAAACACCGTAACCAGCACCAATCACTAGTAGCCACAGTCACCTGGACTATTCTCAACTAATTAAGACTAATCCACATATTCAATTTGAGTTGGTTTAGCTTCTGGGTAAATCCAGTCTGTTCTTCATAAAGAAACGGTAAACAGGAGGGACATCTCTCTCCCTCTCTCTCTCTCTCTCACTTGTGGGACAGAGAAGACTATCCAGTTGAGCCACAGGGTCGACCCAACTGAGAAGTTAATCCCCCTACTCGCTGTTAGTCCAACATAACTCTGCCCCACTTGGAGCAGATTCGGGCTCCGATATTGTCAGGACAATCCTGTTGGCTATAATGGGGAGACATGCCTTAGGACAACACCTTCTGGGCTCCATGTATGCCTTCTCTTCACTTACACCCAAAAGTAATAATTCCTCCTCTTGAAGAGTAATTTTTTTTTTCTCTTTATGACAGATTCCCCATTTACTTCAATCCTTCAACTCATGGTTTTCAAAACCGGACCGGAAAAACTGGGAACCGGTCAGGTGATCGGTTCCGTTTTTCTCAAAATCCGGATTTTCCCCCAAAACCGTTGATTTTGGTCAGCAAACCGCTGAATCGGACAATTAACCGTTTGAACAATTTTGACTGTTTTTTATTTTTTAATTTTTTTAATTTTTTGTCAGAATGGGCTGAGTGTTCAGTTTGAACGGACGAACCGTTCAACCCGGTAACCAGACCCTGACCGGTTCAGTCTCTGGGCTGGTTTTAAAAACCACGCTTCAACTACACATGCATACCCACTCAACCCTTGTAGGGGAATCTTTCAAAATACAGTATTTGAACTTAGCAATGATAACATCATATGCTGGAACTCTTTGTTTACAAATCCCAAGCCCTTTTCTTTACCATCTGCCTTTATTTTTCTGGCTAGTTGTGTATGTTTTTTTCCTTTCATTTTAGGTTTGAGGTGGTTCAAACTAGATATAATGAAGCCACATGTAGCATGAGGGGGAGGAAGTAAAAAGCCACATGGCTTTATAATTTTCTGTATTTTTGGAAAATTTTCTACATTTTTTTGGAATTTTTCTGTATTTTATTATTTTTATATTTAGATATTTTTATTTTTCATATGTTGTTATTTTTCCTGTATTTTCCTGTACTTTATTTAATTTTTATGACATTTTTATTATATATAAATATTTTTTATTTTTTAAATTTATTTATGATATCGTGGGTGAAAATTATTTGACCCAAATGATTGAACCGCTGAAATAGAAAATGATGCCTAAAACGGTTCTGTTTTCATGTGGGTTTTTAAAACCTTGTTCTAAACGAACATCATGAGAATCTTGTTGATAGAATCGAAGCAAATGCAAACCCTGAAATTGCATTAGTTACAGAGGATCGGAGGTTGTCTATTCTGGTACAATAGGGAGCAAAACATGCAAGCCCGAAAATGCTTTAATGGTGAAGGATTGGAGGAGTCAATGTATTTTGTAGTTTTGGTGTAGTAGAGTTTCCGCAAAGATTGTTGCAGATGCAAGCACCAAAACTTTTAGGCGTATCTCAACAAACCAAATAGAGGACACCTCCAGAAAATAAATTTTCTGTTTCTCATCTTATCCCTTTCTATCCTTTCCTTTTCTAGACCAATTTTCTTAGAAATTAAATAGACCATAAAGGAAAAACACAACCTCTTGCATAAGAGGTTGGTTCATAGAGGTGTAAAATGGGTTGTGTTGGGTCAGCATGGCATGACCTGTGTGCAGCCCACGTGCCATTCCAGGTCATGCCTCCATTCCTTGGAATATTTTGGGGGGTTGGCCAGGCAAGGCCCACGACCCGAGCCTGTATGAGCCCGTATTAGGCTAGGCTGGTCCGTGGGCCGAGCCTTGGGCCAAGCTAGGCCGTGGATTGGGGCCAAAGTTATTTATTTAAAAATTGGAAAAAATTTAAACTTTTAATTTTATATGAATTTTGATTTATACAATTACTTATATGTACAATAAACAAATAAAATTAAAAAAAATGTTTATTTTATTAATATATTATATACTATATAATTATTTAATTATAATTTATATAATATGTAATATAATATATATATCTATATATAAATAAAATAGTATGGGCTATGTCGGCCCAATACGTTGACCTGAAACCCCAAGCCTAGCACAGTCCATCAACTCATACAATCGTGCCCGACTGCGACAGAACGTAGACCATTGAACTGGACTAGCTCAAAATCGTACCAGGCCGCGGGCGGGCACGACCCGATTTACACCTCTAAATTGGTGGTTTGGACGTATCTTCAAGAATTAGACTTGGCAATTGGGTTGGATGGGTCGGGTTTGGGTTGGGTCAAGACCCTTCGAGTTGAATTTCGGGTTGGATTGTCAAAATGCTAGACCTAGCCCTAAATGTTCGGGTTAGGGTTGATTCATAGGTCAATTTGGATCAACTCAAAAAATAACTAGAATTAAAAAAATAAAAAAAACTACATAAAAATGTCAAAATTAAAATAATTAACCTTAAAATTCCAAATATAAAATAAAAGAAACTAGAACATTTAACAATTTTAAGAGTAAACTATAAAAAGTAAAGACTAAATAGAAAAAATTAAAGAATAGAAACTTCTAACAAGCATAAATAGTCCCATTTATTTTTGACAATCAAGTCATCGGGTTAATCCATGACCCAACCCAATCCAGTTTTTTCGGGTTGATTCCGATCGGTTCATTCTCACATTCAGATTGGGTTGGGTCATCGGGTTAACCCATGACCCAACCTAACCCTGTTTTTCTCGGATTGGGTTGGGTCGGGTTCGCGGGTTGGGTCAACTTTTTGCCGGGTCTATGCAACTGGAAATTTTCTTCTAACTCCAGTGTTAAAAGCCCCAAGCCTATACGCATTTGCATCTGTAAAAGCATATCGGTGAAAGAAAGGAGCAGGAGCTCGGTAAGTCGGAATCAAATATTCATCTAAGCGGCATCCGCAGATATGCATATGCTACGTTTCGGTCTTGGGCTTAATTCGAATTCAAAATATACACTGATTCGATTAAAGGCTGTTAATATGTTATTTTCATTATCCGATCGAACTCGGAGTTTAGTGCATCCGATCCGATTACAGGGATAGGCGGCTAGCCCGAAGCACAGAAACAAGGGGCTCATATTGGCGGTAGAAGGGGAAGACTGCTGTTACGGGCGTTCAGTTCGGCTTCCGTTTGGTGGTGGAGACTCCGGAAAAGTTTTCCTTCGACGACTGCTGTTACGGGCGTTCTGTTCCTTCTGCCTATCGCAATCAAAGGGATTCCAGACGCCAAGGTACGCTAAATATGAAAAATTGCTTTCCTGCTGCAAACCCATGATCAGAATAACGGATTTTGTTATCAGATTCCGTCATCCCGTCATTCCATGCAGCCATCTCAATATTCCTCATTCAAAGAAGATTGTTTTTCGTCTGTTAGTTTTTAATGGAAACATGGAAAAGCCATGACCGAAGAAATCGATTTTTCGCCTAGAAATCGCATAAAATCCTCTTGTATCTAATACACGAAGACGAAACATGATTCGCCCTTTTTAATTGATGCATCTTATAACACGATTCGCACTGGTTGAGAGCATGCTGCTAATGGTGTTGGTTGGGTTCTGACTAACCTAGTATCAGAAATAAGGGCAAGGTTAAAATTTCAGTGTAAAAGCTCTGGGTCGGACAATTTACATTCATCGTGTCAAGTGGTCAATTGTAGCTATTCTGTTCGTTTTCGATATAAATGGGCGTGCAGATGGAATGGTAGGATGAAGGGCTCTTGGCTTCTCTTTGGTTTTCCCAGTTAATTTGCTAGACTTCGTAAACCTATCACCCCCTAGCTCCTAGACTTCGCAACTCAGTTTCGGTTTTCCTGTTGAAGGATCAAGTGCAATTGAGAGCTTCCCTAATTCTATAGATCCATGGAACTGAAAGTATGAACATTCCGTCATATCATAATTTGTGTAGTGTTTGTGTTTGAGGGTTAAGCATTAGAGGTTTTGAATATGAACATAGCTGTGGTTTTGAATAATCACAGCTAATGCTTTAGTTACAAGTAAGTAATCCCCAAAAATATCAGCCGAACATTTCAATTAGGCAGGAGTGGTCAATTCAGGATTGGAAATTTGAATCTTTGTTTACAAGTAAACAATCCCAGATTAGCTGGGATTTTTTCTGCAGTCTTCCAAGTTTGAACAGTCCGTGATGCCTATAAGAATTGCTCCCAAATGGAGTTTGGGCTCCCAAATTCAGATGAAACCTGTTTGATTGGGAGATTGAATGGCTATAAGAATTGCTCAGCCACCACCAACAATTCCAGCCAACTCTCAACTTGGAAGACTGCATTTACTAGCTTCTTAAGCAAGGTCCATTAGCATTTTTAATTTCTTTAGCTAAAATTCCTTACTATTGACAATTAAAAAAACGGGAGAACACTTTAACATTTCATTTCTAAGTTAAAATTTCTAATTAAACATGAAAAGCATAACCTTAAGAATTTGGGCTTATTCTTTTCCTTTACTTGTGTTGAGCAATAAAAAATGTGCCATTTTTCTCTCTTTTTATATTATTCGTTATTTATTTCTCATGTGACTTACCAACTTCCACTTGTTATTGCACATCTGGCCTCACTATGTCTTCCACACAGATAGGCACATAGTTTTTGAAACAGAGGAAATGTATCATTGAATCTGATATTCTTCTTCTTCTTCTTCTTCTTCTTCTTCTTCTTCTTCTTTTCTCTCTGCCTCTAGGGTTCTCTGTGACCAAAGAGTTCGGGTTTTAGATCAGCGGGCCAACCATGGCAACAGCTTCAGGTACACTTTTTTTCTTAAACTTATCCTTTTTTCTAATCATATAAATTTGACTTCCAATCTGTGATGCCCGTATTTTTGTATAAGGGTGTTGTATTGTGTTGGATACTTCAAATTTTAGTATAAATTCTATATCGAACATCTGCCCAGATGTCCTTGCCATATCCAGGCAAATATAGCTTCTAATTGTCGTCTTTCAAATATTTTCTCCTCAATACTCAATACAGGAGGTGAATTACAAGGTTAACAAATGATTTCGTTAATTCTATGGCTATGAGAGGGGTGGGTGGGAATAGACTAGTGGGGGCATCATGGCCATGTGCTCTTTTGTAAGGCTGCTATGTATTCTGGTTTTAGTGTGAATCAGCTACAAGCATTGTGTTAGTTCCATATAGCCCAATATTAGTGCACTGTAGTATCTTTTATAAGATTGTTATGTATTCTTATTTTACTGTAAATCAGCTATTAGCTTTGTCTTTGTTTCATATAGGCTATAAACCCCAATATTACTGAGCTCTATGGGTCCTCTTATCTAGTTACTTTGAACATTGCTACTGGTAAAAAAAAAAGCCTTTTCATTGGCTAAAGTGTAAGAAACTGAATTTTGAATTTTATCTTGTTACCGATGTGGGGAGGTATGAGTGAGTTTGGCTTGGGCTGTAGGTTCCTCCTATCTTATTATTCCAATAATGTGCTTTTGAACATTGCCAATTTGCCACTGGTAGAAAAAACCTCTTTATTGGTTAAAGAGGAAAAAATGAGTTTCCATTTTTTTTTTCTTGTTAACGATGTAGGAAAGATGTGAGAGTTCCACCTATCAAAACGAAAAAAAAAAGATGTGAGAGTTCCATACACTAATGGTAATTTTCATGTGCTTCTTTCTTTGAGACACTTTTACCAACCCAACTTGCTTCACCCTTTCCTAGTGAAAGCCATTTGGATTGGTGCATTTCCCCTAAAGGTTAAAGTTTTGTATTGGGAACGTAAGTGAGAGACTCTAGAGGAAGCAAAAAACCGGGTACTTTTCCCCTTGTGTGTTCTATATCTAAAGAGTGGAGAAAGCATAAACAACATTCTTTTGACTTGCTTCACCCTTTCCTAGTGAAAGCCATTTGGATTGGTGCATTTCCCCTAAAGGTTAAAGTTTTGTATTGGGAACGTAAGTGAGAGACTCTAGAGGAAACAAAAAACCGGGTACTTTTCCCCTTGTGTGTTCTATATCTAAAGAGTGGAGAGAGCATAAACAACATTCTTTGACTTGTCATAGATCTCTTTTCCACAAATTTAAGGCCATTAATCTCAGCAGGGTAATGCCTCCCTCTATCTGTGAGCTGCTGCTAGCATGGCATCCCATGGTTTAAATGTAAAAAGAGATGTTGTTGGAAATTGATCCCTATGGCAGTTTCTTGGACCATCTGGACTGAAAGGAATAGGAGAATTTTCAGGGCAAATCTAGAGTCTGTGAAAGAGTTAATCAACCTGTCTATTGCCAACACCAGCATTATTTCTTGTGCTTCTGTCACTAATGAATGCTGTCAGCAATTGAACTTACAATAGTGTCTTTCTTTGAACTTGTGGGCCAGTGTTTTAAAAGGTGTGGGAGGCATATGCCTGGAGGTCCAGGCGAGGCGCTCCCAAAATGCCCTAAGGCGTATGCTAGAGGCGTTGACACCTTTGAGGCGTATGCCTCAGGTGCAAGAGGTGTATGCCTCGTGCGCTTTTTTCATGAGGCATGCTAAAGGTGTACGCCTCATGCGCCTCATGCACATCTTAAATAAAAAGACGAAAAGAAAAGAAAAGAGAAAAAAATGAAAGGAAAGGAAAGGAAAAGAAAGGGAAGGGAAAGAGAAAAGGAAAGAAAAGAAAAGGAAAGGGAAGGGAAGAAAAGATAAGGGGAAAGAAAGTGGTTTGCTCCCTGCCCCTTCAGCTGGGGGGTTTGCCCCCTAGACACCCCCCGCCTCTTTTTGATGCAGCCCAATTTGTTTTTGTTTTTTTGAGTTAGGGGGTCTTGCTCTGCTCTGGCGAGCTCGCTTTGCTCACTCGCCTCCGTTTCAACAAGATCCCCCCTTTCAACTAATGTTATGCATCTTTATTCTTCTTAATATAAAAGATTTTTATTAAAAATAAAGAAAAAAAATGAGATCCCCCCTTCCTCTTCATCCTCCTCCCCTTCCTCCTCCTAATCCCCCTCCTCTTAAGGAGGCTTACGCCTCTTGCTTTCTGAACTACGCCTCACGCCTCTAGGTAGTGGAATGCCTTGCGTCACGCCTCCGCGTTTTAAAACATGTTGTGGCCTGTCTGAGTTGTATTGTCTCTGGAGATGGATGCTCCTGTTTTGGAGCTGCCCTGAATGTTTTCTTGTATCATTTGCTAATAAAATTTACCTTATTTTTCAGAAAAAAAACAAAAACAAAGATGATCTGTTGAGAAGCTGGAAAAAAGTGGCCATTGTTCAAGTAATAAATCAGCAAAGACAAGTGGAATGGAGAGCTCCTACAATGGGTAGCCTTGGTAACAGTGGCCATTGTTCAAGTTGTAGCCTTGGTAACAAAGGGGCTTCAGGAATAGGTAAAGTTGGGAGAGATAGCAAAAGCGAAAGCAATATTCTATTCAGCTTTTCAGGAGGAATGAGGACAGCCATGGCGCAATCCTCTAGAGGCTTTAAAGAAGCCATTGGGGGGGGGGGGACAATCCTTTAGTCCACCTGATCCATGTTTCTTCAATCCCTTTCAGCCTCATGATATTTCACAAACAGTTCCAGTCAACTCTATCATAAGCCTTCTCAAGGTCTAACTTGCAAACTACCCCGTTTAAGGCCTTTCCTTTACAGCATGAGAAATAGCTTACTAGTTATTCTCATACTGGATTATGCTTACATACCAAGTTAAAAGAATGATTAGTATAATTGGGTGGTGGAAAAGCAGTTAAGTCTGTTATAAGATGAATGATGATATATGAGTATGATTATCTCCTCCCCAACCCCCTTCTAAGTTACAGAAATCTTGCCTCCCCCGCCCGCTTCATTGGGGATCTCTGGAACTGGCAGTGCTGGTGGACTCGTATATAGGTAGATAGATATACACTACCTATTTGGTTTCATATATTATCAACTCTGTTTATTTTTCCTTGTGATCTGGTGGGGGATGCAGGGTAGAACAGGTCACAGATATGCTGATGAGTCAATATGGACAGGGATTTGGATGTGTATTGACATGGGTTTGGAGGCACCCATAATCACAAAAGTCAAAGGGTGGATGCTTTTTTGGGAAAGAGGGTTAAACCTCCCTTGAAGTTTCTGATAAAAGACCTCCCCTCTCTTTTCGAAAAGGACTAAGACCTCCCCTTTCAGTTTCAAAGTTATGCCTAACAGAAGTATCAAAAAGTCTCTTTTGCAGGATGAAAGAACCTTCTAGACATAACTTCTAATAGACCTTCTGGTTTCATTTCTTAGTTAAGTCTTTTACCCTTTTTTGGGCAGAATGAAAGAACCTTCTAGTAATAAGTTGCAAATTGAGACCTGAAGCATATAATCTGTTCTTTTGTTTCTTAGTTGATTTATCCAGGTGGCTATGGCCCTGTTTGATGATTATAAGTACTTAGTACTTCTTAGAAGTACTTGTTTCAACAACCCTTTAGGCTGTTTGGTAACCCACTTTTTCAAATCACTTATTATGTTTTTAAGTACTTACTGGGGTGGGAAACAAATGGCAATTTTAGCCCTTACTTTTCTCATACATACATACATATATATATATGTTATACATTTTAACAGAGAGTCCACGTGGACCCCACTTCATGACAACTGAGAGCTCACATGGACCCCACTTCATGGTCAGCACTATTTCTGCCATCAATGGCCCGGTATCAAGCTCGGTACACTAGCCGCCGATGTTGCTGGTGCACCGGCCGTCGACATCGCTGGTACACCGGCTGCCGGCTGCCGGCTGGTACACTGGCCGTTGACTGGTGCACCGGCCGCCGACGTCGTTGGTACAATGGCCGCCGATTGGTACACCGGCTGCCGACCGGTACACCGGCTGCCGACCGGGACACCGGCCGCCGATGTCATGTTGGCGGAGAGATAGAGACAAGGAGAAAGGGTGAGAAAAATACGAGAATGAGAGTGGGGGTATTTTAGGTATTACAAGAAAATATTAGGGACTGGTTCGTCCCATTTTTTTGGAGAAGTACTTTAAAAAGTACTGAAAAAAGCCAACTTCAAGTCACTTTTTTAAATAAGTACTGTAAAAACAAGTATTTATTACCCTCTTTTTTACCAAACAGCCATAAGTACTTAAAAAACCACTTAATGTGTGGTCCCATGTCTTAAAAGAAGTACTTGTTAAAAGAAGTACTTCGTTTAAGTGTTCTCAAACAGGGCCTATAAAATGTAGCATCAATTCAATTATAAATCTGAATATTTTTTATCCCTCAATGTTTATGTCTGTCATTATGCTAGGTTGCTTCTTAGATTGATTACTTCTTAAGTTCCATACAGGGACTCTATATGTCCTATACTACAAAATTGGAAACTCCTTGTTAGAGTTACTTCAAAGACATTTGTTGGAGAAGGTTAACAATTGTGACTATAGTTCCATACAGGGACTCTATATGTCCTTTACTACAAAATTGGAAACTCTTTGTTAGAGTTACTTCAAAGACATTTTTGGAGAAGGTTAACAATTGCGACTATTTAGTTTATTGGTTTCATTTGGTCTGATCAGGACTTATTGCTATTTTCTTTCCTTAATTGTTGAAACTAGCTTCTTCACTCAATAGAAAATGCAATCCATCTTAAGAAGCTAGGAAAAAAAATTTGTTGGATTCTTCACTTTTCCTGTTTTTGTATTACCATTGTTGGTTTGCAATGAATGCATCTTACAAATTTGGCGGGATATGCAGTGGCATTTAAATCCAGGGAGGATCACAGAAAGCAACTAGAATTAGAAGAAGCACGTAAAGCTGGGCTTGCACCAGCTGAAGTCGATGAAGATGGGAAAGAAATTAACCCTCATATTCCTCAGTACATGTCATCTGCACCTTGGTATCTCAATGCAGAGAGACCGGTAAATAGTCTGTTTGCTTTCCTGTTGCTTACAAACTGCGGTTTATGGCTTTATGTGATTCTAATANTATCTCAATGCAGAGAGACCGGTAAATAGTCTGTTTGCTTTCCTGTTGCTTACAAACTGCGGTTTATGGCTTTATGTGATTCTAATACCTTGCTTTTGGTACTCAGAGTTTAAAGCATCAAAGGAAATGGAAGTCAGATCCAAATTACACCAAAGCCTGGTATGATAGGGGTGCAAAAATTTATCATGCTGATAAATATAGAAAGGGTGCATGTGAAAAGTAAGTGGAGTATCTTTTCTTCTTCTTCTTCTTTTTTGTTCTTTCTTTATTTTGTTCCTTACTATTATTGGTTGGGAACCAAAGTCATCTATCAGTTGAGAACAATTGAACATATACTAATGGCATTGAGTGTAACATTGTATTGAATAAGACAGTTGATATGGACATAGAGAGCTAGGTTAATTTTAGACACCTGACTCACTAACATGTTTGCAGAGTTGTACTGCAGAAGATTCCCCCCCGTCTTTTCTGTCTTTTAGGATTACCTGTTCATGATATGACCTGTTCCAATTTTTTGTTTTTGATATTTAATTGACATATATTATGTGCTTCCCCCCTTATTTTTTTAATCTTTTCAAAAATGTTCTTTTCTTTGTTAGGGCAAGTGCCTCACCTTGTGCGTTGGGGCACTAGAACCTATAAATTTATTGATTGAATCCCTAATATCTCTAACCAATTGGGAAACTTAATCTTTGATTTTTAGGAGACTAGGATACCTTTCTAGGCCCCAAAAATTTCTTGAAGAATCTGAAAAAATCTCTAAAAAATAGGTGATTCAAGTATTATAATGCCCTCTTCCACTATTTATATAGCTATGATAGTACAAGTTGACCAAAATACCTCTGGTTGTGTAACACAGTAATAACTTATACATTTCAGTAGGGCTCCAATGAATCCCTGTAAAAATGAATATTCTTCATCTCCAAGATTAATGAAAAAAAAAAAGAGAGAGAGAGTATGTTTCTCCAACATGATTCGGTAAATGGACTTAGAACAAGAAAGTTACACTAAAAGATGACCTTCAAAACCTAGATGTCTTTAGCCATACAGTCTATTCTGGACAATTTTGATCTTCAAGAAGTACTGGTAGCTGATTGGCTTCCTATGTATGCAATGTGTCTGAAATGAGGGCATGGAACCACATATCACCCATATCTCTTAAAGATAAGGTATGTCATACTTGTACCAACATTCCTCAATAAAATTTGATTGAATCTGTTGGGTTTATTCTACATTGCTTGGGTTGCTACTTGCTACAGGTTCTTTATTGGTCTTTATATTTTGATATAATCCTGTTGTTTCTTTGGTGTGGGTGTTTTTGAGCAAACAAGAAAAACAATAGCAAAAAAAAAAAAGAAAAAATACAATAGCAATAATATAATCTTGTTTTATAGCAAGAATAATTTCTTTATTTGCTTGTTACAGCTGTGGAGCAATGACACATGATAAGAAGTCATGCATTGAAAGGCCTCGAAAGTTGGGAGCAAAATGGACAAACAAACACATTGCACCTGATGAGAAGATAGAGACCTTTGAGTTGGACTATGATGGAAAACGTGACCGATGGAATGGGTATGATCCAGCAACATATGCCCGTGTTATTGAGAGATATGAAGCAAGAGATGAGGCCAGAAGAAAATATCTAAAAGAACAGCAGCTGAGAAAATTAGAAGAGAAGAACAATAACCAGAATGGTGAGGGTGAAGTTAGTGATGAGGATGATGATGAAGATGCCCTGAAGGTAGATGAAGCTAAGGTGGATGAGAGCAAACAGATGGACTTTGCTAAAGTTGAGAAACGTGTGCGCACAACGGGTGGTGGGAGCACAGGAACAGTCAGGTGAATGAGTCTTTTCAGTCTGTGAGTTTAACTGTTAATTCATATGGCCTTCCCAATATGCAATCTGTTTTTGGTTGTGTCCTTGCACTTCATTGAATTCGGTGAAGGAATTTCTTTTGTATCTGTTCATTTGGTGCTGTATATAACTATTGCTGAAGCATTTAATTATAGGAATTTGCGTATTCGGGAGGACACAGCAAAGTATCTTTTGAATCTTGACGTGAATTCTGCACATTATGATCCTAAAACCCGGTCTATGCGTGAGGATCCTCTTCCAGATATGGACCCGAATGAGAAGTTCTATGGAGTGAGTATTTTGAGAAACCATACATTCTATTAGATTGATTAGTGTGCTTCATTGGTAAAACTCATGATATAATGTTTGTGCATCTGACTTTGTGATTGTTCCATTCTTCAGGGAGATAATCAATATAGAGTGAGTGGGCAGGCATCGGAGTTCAAGCAGCTTAATATTCATGCGTGGGAAGCCTTTGACAAAGGCCAGGACATCCATATGCAGGCTGCCCCCTCTCAAGCTGAACTTCTTTTCAAAAATTATAAGATTATTAAGGAGAAGTTAAAGTCTGGAATAAAGGAAACTATTATGGAGAAGTATGGCAACGCAGCTTCTGAAGGAGAGCTTCCAAAAGAGCTTCTCATGGGGCAAACTGAGAGACAGGTTGAGTATGATCGTGCTGGTAGGATCATTAAGGGTCAGGTAAGATATGTGTTGATGCTGTGTTTATTGTTTATTTTTTTTTATTTTTGTATATATCTATTTTATTATTCTGTTTCTGTTGCCAAAAAAGGAAAATTGCTACTTCTATGTACATGAAGCTTCCTAATGTTTGCCAAAAAAAGAGCTTCCCATTGAAAAAAAAAAGAATTCTCATTTAATTTGTTTAACCAACAACCCTTGTTATCCTTCATTAAACTTTCCATTTCTGCACCAGTTGCTAAGTATAAATTTTTGCCTTCCTTTTTACTGATCATTTTTTCCTTTTTAAGTCCAAAACACTATTTTTGGTTGTATTGGATATCATGTAAATTAGGAAACCAGTTTTTTGGAATCTGGTTTTAACCAAGGTTTATAATGTCGATGTTCGTGGAAATGTCGGTCATCCAAATATAAGAAACATGTCGGAAATGTCGGAAATATTGTATGGAAACATTGCAAAAATCATAGACATGGTGGAAACAGTATAAAATATGCAAAACATAGAATGATATTTTATGAAATGATAAAAGAAGCATAGGCACACCTTTTTAAATCACTATCTTGTTCTAAATTATTAAACAAAGCTAAGAAACTAAGGTTATGGACAAAAGAATACATTCTGAAGTTGCCCTGTAAACCTTAAGATTCAGAATTTCATAATAAAATGTGTTAAAGCAAAATTTAAATTCATAGAAAATGTAAATGATTGTAATAGATCAACCATATAATCTATTACACAAGCAAAAAATTAATATTTAATTTCATGTTTGAAATGAATATTAAGCTAGCTCCAGGTGGTTATCATGTAAGTTAGGCATAAAATAACATTGTTACTTAACATATCTGGAATATTGTCACCAACTTATGTTTTGATACTCTTGGACTCCACAAAGTGCTGGTAGTGTTCATTGGGGAATATGTTGATTCCAATAAAATTTCATGTCACTACTAGACCTGTTCATGGGCTGGGCTCGGGCTGGGCTTTTACTGTATATTAACAAATTTTTGTAAGGCCTGAGCCCGAGCCTGGCCCGACCATCGGGCCTACAACTTGGGCCCGAGCCCGGCCCTCATAAAAAGCCCGAAGCCTGAGCCTGGGCCCAGGCCCGAAATTTAGCCTATACTATTATTATTATTAATGTTGAAGCAGCTGAATAGAGAGAGAGAGATTGAAATTATAAAGAAAAGAATAAAATATATATATATATATAT